GGCGGCCGCGGCGGGCAGCACGTCGGCGGGGCTGGCGTACGGAGAGCCGGTGGGGTTGGAGTTGGCCACGGGGCCCGCCACGTTGGCGTAGCTGATGTTGAGGCAGCTGCTGCTCTGCGGGTCTTCCTGCACCTTCTGGACGATGGCGCTCACAGCCTTGTGCACCTGCTCGGGCTCCCCGCTGACCGTGACCACGCGCTCCTGCAGGTTGATGCCCTCCGGCTTCTGGGAGAGCTGCACCCAGGCGCCCGACTGCTCCATCACGGCCTTCACCGTCGCGCCCCCCTTGCCTATGATCAGGCCCGCTGTGCTGTTGGGGACGATCAGCTTGGCCTGCACGGGGAGCGAGAGAGCAGGTTACATACAGGGTGGAAGTCGGAGAGTGGGGAATAAACCAAGCCTCGAACCACCTGGCTCTTCTCAATTCATGGCTGATGAAACCAGAATGGACCTGAATTAATTTATTTTTTAAAATCTTTTTAATTTTAATTGTCATTTTAACAAAAGTTTACAGAAAAGTTAGATTTTCATTCCTTCATTGTTGCACAGTTTACCCCCTCTCCCTCCCTTCCCCCCTCCTCAAGCTGACTTTTTTCACTAATTTACAAAATTCTAATACAAATTCAAACAAATTCTTTCAATTCCCCTCACCCCTCAAATTGTACAATTCAACGATTAATCTCCTCTTCCCCCTGTACATCCACATCCCTCTGCTTCCAGCCTTTCCCATCCCTCCTGGATCCTTATACTCATTCTACAATAATGGTCTTATACAATATTTATCCTTGTGGGACTGAGTTAGTTCACTCAGCATACTCAGTCCCACAAGGATAAATATTGGACCTGAATTTGTAAACCGTGAGTGAACCAGAAGATAACCAGAATGAGAGGAAATGACAGGATGACACCCTGCTGGAAACTTACTCTCCCGCTAAGAAACCAAGGCCAGTGTACAGGTTGAATAGCAACCAAATTTCTTTACTAGCAGAATCAGAAACAACAGTGACGGCTTGAAGATCGTGGCTGACTATACTGCTTATATGCTGTTGCTCTCCACAATTCTGCCAATGATACAGTCTCCTGAATCAAGATCCTAAAAAAGTACACTACTTCAGAATCTCATTCCAGGGCTTCAATTGGTAACCTCTCCCTTTATGGTTATCATTGTGCATGACATACATTTTAGAAGTCCAGATCTGTTCTGATTTTGCTTCCATGGCTGTCATAGAACCGGTTCAAACCAATTCAATGCCTTGAGAATTATATCCAGGTCTTGTAGTTTTCAAGTCACTAACCCCTGTTCTTTCAAATGGCCAAAATCAGATTCTGTTTGTATCCTGGGTATGCACCACTACAACTTAGATGTAGTTAACTGTATTGAGTAAATTTGCAATTCCTGGTGACCCCACGGACAAGGGAACCAGTTAGTTATGACCCACAGGGGTTTTTATTTGCTGTTTCCTGGGAGTGGATTGCCAAACTTTTTTCCCCAGCCTGACTTATTCTGGAAGCTTCGAAACCTGCCACACTCCACGAAGATGGGAGGTAAGCTGCACAGGAGGTAAACTGTTTGGCAAACAATGCAGGCTCTTCCACATGAAAGGTGAGAATTCTGTCACTGAAGCAACAAGGCCTTATAGTAATGCCACCCCCAGCCCCAAGCCTCTAAGTTGATTCTGACTCAGCATCTCCTAGGACAGAGCAGAGGGTTTCTGAGGTTGCACATCTTTGCAGGAACAGACTGTCATGTCTTTCTCACCAAAGAGTAGCTGGTGGGGTTGACCTACTGATCATTAGGTTAAACTCCTAAGGACCTGGATTCTCTCCCTATTTCCTCTCAAGGAGGGAGGTCCATTCCTTTGGGGATGTAACTTTCTAATAAGTGTTTAATTAGCTTGGAAGGAGGAATGGCATCCACTACAATAACAGCTTGCCTCCAAAAACCCTGTGAACCTGGAGAGAGGATGAAAGGCACCCAAGTGTTGAGGACTCTCCTTCATAGGGTCGCTATGAGTCACCTGCGACTCGACGGCACTTAACAACAACAACAACACAACAACAAGAAGAACAAGAGTTTAACTGCTGTACCACCAAGGCTCTAAAATAGTCTGATCAGTTGTTAAAATATACTCCTAGGCTGATGGAAAAAGAGCCCATTATTTAAGCTCTTTGGTAGCTTCTTGGCCACCCTGTTCCACGTCAACAAAGGCCTTGGTATCTTCTATTCATCCAGTTCCGAAAGCCTTACCTACTTGGGACGTCAAGATCTGCTTTTAGTGCTCTCATTGGGGCCCAGGATTTCTCTTTTGTTCAACACTTTTACTCCCAGTCTCAGGAGAAGGCTTCACTAGACTCACTTTATAGAGGAGCAACTTGATGCTTAAAGGGTGAAGAGACTTACTCCAAGGTCACCCAGGTAGTGACAGAAGTGACAGCCAGTCTATTGGGATTTCCCTGATGCTGTCTTCTCACCTAACCTCTTTTTGGTTTTACCTGTGAATTGGAGATAATATAAAAGCTGAGAAAGCAGAGGGTTAGGAGACCTCACAAGGATCATCTTAAAAGCATTGAGTCCCTTGAAAATGATGCTCACCTTCAGTCATAAAGTTACTCTACTTTTAACCACCCATGGGGTCCACTGAGCAGTAGTAGCAAGTCTGATTAATCAAGATTCCACACTGCAATCCCAGAGGTGC